GACAATTACATTTTTCACATATACATGTGAGCACACATGTCATGTAATAGAATTATAACTACTTCCTCATCTTTTAATGACATAACTCTTTTTCAATATCTTATTTTACTTGGTTTCACGGTTCCTGACTTGATATTCCTAAGTTTTCGCTTCCAAATATTCAAATAATCATGTCATATCTTTGATTGACTTCTATTTGTTCACTTCTATCTTTTCTCTCGATAATATACACTTTTCGAGCATTTATTGATCGCAATCATTAATCATAATATGTAATCTCCATTTATACATTTTAATTTATTATTCTCTTAAACTATTATTGTCCTAAATTAACTCTTTCAGTCTCGACATTCAACTCTCGTTAACTTTGATTTTCTTCTTTTATTATCTTTTTTTTTTTTGAGAACAATAACTCCAATACTTCCTTATTTATTTCTTTCAATATATTTGTAAATTTGTCAGCAACAAAAATGTTCCTGAGAGAATGTAAGATGAATACGATGAATGTATATTTCTCTTAATTTTCATTAAATAAAACTTATACCAATATTCCAATTTACTAATTTGTTTCCATACATCTAAAAGTTGCACAAACCATGCTTTCATCATTGCACTTTATTTTCCTCGTAAATACTAAATTTTTGTAATAAATGTTAGATCTTTTATCATTATTCACTTAGTTGTTATTGGGTTACTCATACATGTGTCCATTCTAATCAATATATTTTTGGTGAGACTATTTCTCTTGTATTTTTTTTCTGATAATATTTGATATTTTTTAGGGATGATAAAACAAATTAGGTACGGGACCGACTTGCCAGCTCGCCTAAAAAGTGGTAGGATAGGTTAGAGGCTTTAATCCGCCAAGGACGGGATATTGTGGCGTGACCAACTTTAAAATAATATTTATATATTAAAATAAAATAAAAATTAATTTAATTATAATGAAAAATATTATATTTTTTTATGTTATGTTATTAAAATATGAAAATATATTATAATATTATAATTTAAATTATAAAAATTAACTAATTAAATTTAAATTGTTAATGATTATTAGTTATTTTTATACATAAATGTAATACTTTTTTCAATTTATCTAATAAAAATATTATTTAATATATAGAAATTTAAAAATTATTCAAATAATTAAATATATATTTTAAAAAAATACATATAAAAAAAATTATTGGCGGACTGGGTTCGTAGCCAGTCATATCTATGTCGGACCAGCCCATCCCTCGCTTTTTTGGCGAACTGATCCGTTTTTTCATTCCTAATATGTTATCTTTTATGTATATTTAACTTACTCTGTTTGTAGTCTCTTCTTCCACCAAAATTCTCGATCCTGAAGAAGAGGCTTCTGAACCCACTGTAGCACAATTTGCTTAGTTTTCCTCTAAAGTCCAAAAGAAAAGAAAGGTCCATGGACTTGCTCCTTGCCCGGTATAATTGACTACTCTTAATTTAATCATGTTTAAATTTCTTGCTCATGTATATTCTCGATTTGTATTGACCATACTTCCCTTTTGTTCAAAAAAAAAAAAAAAGATCGAAAGTCGCAATTTCCCCTATCTTAACCCTCATCTCATTATCTCATATATATTATAAGTAACTTTTGCTGAATACATTAAAATTTCTAAAACAATTTGTCATATTTATGTATTAATCATGATTTTTATTTTAGATATTAGCACCTTTTGCTATAAATATTCCTCCTCCTCCAACAACCAGTATTGAATATGATTTTGACTATGATAATAATATTCCTCTAACTTGTTGTCTCCAAAAGCAAAGTCAAGTATTAGCTTATTCAAATACACTAGTACTTCTCTATATAGATGTTCCTATACATTCGTCTTTATGATTAATATTTTATTAAAGAGAGACCTCAACACATGTATCGAGCCATTTGGATTCCCATATCGAGGTCTCTACCATGCCAACACCTATCGTATCTTCATCTCCCATTAAGGTATTTTATAATTTTGTCCACGTATTTAATTGGACATACCTTTCCTTTCGATTCTTAATTATTTTATAATTCCCACAGGAATCTTCCGTTGCACAGTACCTCATAAGAGCAGAGAGTGATCTCCTATTTTTACCATTTATTCGGCTAATATTTGAAAACTATCTATAGTTTGTACTAGATGATTTAAAATTGTGGTCATTTACCAAGACAACATATTTATCATTTCATGATTACTATCATTCATTTTTTGTCTTATTACTTCTAATAAGCTACTCAATATGCTTATATTTTTTATATCAAGTTGATTTAGGTTATATTTCCTATCACTTTTCAATCTAACTTGATTATGACTTCGATCATTCATTCTACTAAAATTTGGGGCTAGTTTCCATGAAGATATTCCTCATGGGTATCGCTATATTATCGATACTTCATAATTATTTTTTGCATTGATGTGCTTTCATTTTTATTATGCTCCCCTAACATATTATGTTTATTCACTGTTATATGTGGTCCGACATAACACACTACTTTTTAGATTATTTATTGGTTGTATTATTGATGTTCCTTAATTATTTTTACTATCATTATTGTTATAATTAATAATATTATCTTCAACATTCTCGCTCATACTATTATGTCTAATACCTATATACTGTCCCTCATTATTTTTATGGGTATTATTTAGGATAATACTAGATATTGATATAGAATTAGTTATAATAGATGTAAAACTTTGTGTACTTTGACTTATCATGACTATTTTACCATTTCTCAATTTCATATACTATTATTTCTCATTTAAATTCTCTAAAACTAATCAATAAATATATGTCTCACTAAACATGACAATTTATTTCTAGTGCAAAATAGTTTATTATTCGATTAATATCTTTTTATCCAAATTTACCATGAACCATTTAATAAATAAGAAATAAGAACGAAGAATATATATAATAAAAAAAATCAATATTTTTTAATTTGATGAATATGTACAATAAAAAAAAGCCAATATTTTTGAATTAGTTTTAAAGAATATATATTTTTGATTCTAAAATATATTTTTTTAAATCTTAATCTTAACTTTCAACTAAAATTATTTAGTTAAATCTATTTTCTGGACGATAGGACTAAAAAAAATATCTTTGGTAGGAAAGAGAAGGGATGTTATGAGAAGGTTTATAAAATGTAGGAGTGAGAGAGGTGAAATAGATGGTAGAGTAAGGTGCGACGTTCTGATTTTGTGAAAGAAGGAGATATGAGCAATAGGAAAAGGCAACGTGGTTGAGTGTGCACCATTTGTTGTTACACACAACACAACACTAGAGAAGAGAACAGAACCGAAGATATGAAAGTAATATACACATAGGAGTGGGAGCTAGAAGGGGTGGCCGACAATGCAATGCGACAACTGGTTTTGTGGATTACACCTTTCAACCACCCCTCACTTCGCTCCACGTGCCCACCCTACCCTCCATCCCTTTCTATTCCCATCTCATTTTCAACTCTCTTCCCTTTCCTTCTCACCATTTAACATCTACAAACCAAAACATAATTATTAAATTTAAACTAAATTTATTACTCTTTTTCTTTGAATTTGTATGATATTAATTTTTCTTTTTACTATAATAGGTTATAAAAAATATCTAAAAAACATTCACGTTACAGTTCAAGAGAGGTGAAAAACACATAGTACTTTGTGTTGGTTATAGATAGACATGTTATATGGAAAACAATCATCAATCCCATAACAATTTACACTCATGATTTAACAAAAAAAGTACACTTTGATTTACTTAATAAGAAAGAGATAAACTTTATATTCAGTAGAAAACAATACTTGAGTTTTGTTAAAGTAAAGCATTTGGAACAATTATTAACTATTTTCTCAAAGTTCAATGACTATCATTAACTTCAATTAATTGTTTTATATTATATACTAATATTAATGCGATCATGTTTGCCACGTATTTTCACGAAAAAAATACAGTTCTCCATTTAATCCCCGATTTATCACATAAAATTTATACGAAATTTTTTGTTGGGTTTAGGGTTTAGGTCATAATTATTATAATTTTACATAGTTTTACTTTGAACTTATTTTTCTGTATAACATATTGTTAGTTATTAAATAAATTACATAAACTATTATTAGATGTAGAAAACAATATAAAACCTAACATATTGAATGCATTTTTTAATATCTATAGGTTCATCATTTTGACTTTTTAATTAAATTTTAATATTTTGTAAAAAATAATCAATGGTTAAAAACATGGATATATATCACAATTAAAATTATGTATAGTTAATAAAAAATATGATTTAACATAAAATACAATTATAGTATATTTGATTCTAAAATTGAAGTCATATAAAATAAACATCCACTCGGTATATTACACGTATTAAAATAAGAGTACTAATATTACATTTGTAAGTTATTTTACTTTCGTAAAATTTTAAAATAATAAAGACTTTGTATATATTTTATATAGAAATGGTAATACAATAAAAATGAATTTGAAGAAGTATTAAATTGAGATAATGAATAAGTTGAAGAGAGAGGTTGTAGTAAAGAGCAGGGAGGGGGGATATAAAAGAGAGGAAGTGGTAGCAGAGGACATTTTGGGTATTATTGAAAAAAGAGGGAGGGTTCGGCTGCGAAAGTAGTTAGGGCTATGTTGTAGGGCTTGTTGAGTCAATTCACCTTCACTCCCAAATCCCCAAACACAACATAACATAAACATTACAACTTCCAAGATACATACATGTAAGTAACTAATATAGAGAGAACCAAGAAGTACGTCGTTGCAGCTTCCACGCATATTTGTCACTCTCCCAAACCCATTCTCATTCCGCATCCCAATTCTCTTCTCTCTCTGCTTTTTCTCCGTACTCTCGTCACACAGACACATGTGTGTTTACTACTCACCAACATAAACATCACCAACACACTCACTGACATAAACACACTTTCAGGTGCATCTCATCAAAACTTCTCCCATCCATTTACCTTCACCAAATGCAGCAAATACACTCCATGGCAGCAGGAACAGGAGGAGGAGGAGGAGGAGCCAGGTTTTTCTCCGGCACCGGCGCTGCCGACAGGAGGCTCCGACCCCACCACCAGAACCACCAGGCCCTCAAGTGCCCCCGCTGTGACTCCCTCAACACTAAGTTCTGCTATTACAACAACTATAACCTCTCCCAGCCCCGCCACTTCTGCAAAAACTGCCGCCGCTACTGGACCAAGGGCGGCGTCCTCCGCAACGTCCCCGTCGGCGGGGGCTGCCGCAAATCCAAACGCTCCAACAAACCCGCCAAAACCTCTGACACCGTTCCCCCTCCTCCGCCCGACCCCGACCATTCCAGCAGCGAGAGCTCCAGTCTCACCGCTACCGCTGCTGAGACCGTGTCGGCACCGATAAACTCGGATTCCACCAACGTGCAAGAGTCGAAGTTGTTGGTCCCCGTGGAGCCTGTTTTGGAAACGAATCCTCTGGACCAAGGGGCAGGGGACTGCGGTGGTATCTTCTCTGAGATTGGACCTTTCACCAGTCTGATCGCTACTTCCACTAACGAGCCATTGGCTTTCGGTTTCGGCAACGCTCTGCCCGATGCGTCGTCGTTTCAGTGGCAGCATCCGAAGTTGACCGGCAACCACGAATTGAAGCTCCCCGAAAGCTCCTTGCTCGATCACACGGTTGATTTGTCGGCTCTGCATAGTAAAACCAACAACGGAACTTTCGGATCTTTGGATTGGCAGGGTGGTGCGGATCAAGGTTTGTTTGATCTCCCCAACACCGTTGATCACGCTTACTGGAGTCACACTCACTGGTCTGACCACGACAATTCTTCTCTCTTTCATCTCCCCTGAAAACGGCTTCACGCCTTCATAAATCTCATCTCACCTTTTTTTTTTCATTTCTTATATAATTTAACTTTAAAGAAGAGCAAATGATATTTGAAACCAAAGCCAAAGTAAAAAAAAAATGCAAAAGAAGGTGGAAGGACTTGATATAATTAATCACGAGGTGTATATTTTTTTTAATTATAAATTTGGGGGGGGGGGAGGGGGAGCTTGATTTAGTTAGTGATGTGCATGCACGACTAATTCCATGTTAGTCTCTATCTGATTTTTCATTTTCTTTTGTTTTATGGGATCACGTTTCAATATGTGTGTGGAATTCGATTGATTAACTGAGAAATTATGGCAGGATGTTTTAATATGAACAGTAATTGCTTCTTTAGTCGGTTGTTTAGGTTTGTAATCGCATTTTTGGTTTATTTTGTGACGCCGGTCCTTCCGTACGATGATTATTCCATCTCTCTTATCATTATATTAATTGATAACAATTAATTAAGAAATAATAGGTTGAGGTAGGGAGAAGACAATATTGGTTGAAGGGTAGTTAAGATGTAAGTGGGCTTGGTTTTTCGATTTTGAATTGTGAAATTGGTGCGAGTGTGGCTTGTGGGGATTTGATTAATGAGATTAAGATGCAGGCAATGAAAATAAGAAAAGAGGGATTAGGAGGGATAGGGTAGGTTGGGGCGTGGGGTAGTGATGAGTTGCATGCGCGATCATGTTGAAGAGTCCGCGTGCGGGAGAGGAATGCAAAAAAGTGGGGACACGTGGGTTTGGGTGGGAAGACAAAGAATGTGATGTGAGGAGCTTGTGTTGTCTCGTGGTGGATCACAAGGGCAAGGGCAATTAATCTGAATGGAGGAGTGGTATAGAAGATATAGCCAAAGTAGTGCATTCATAGTGGAGTATCAACTCAACCACTGTTGTTTGTGGGGATATGCATGGAAAGAGGGTCATGATGGCGCCGACTGCGTCTTTCTTCACCAGAAATCAACAACAGTTGAAGGTGACGGTGATTATTCATGAGGCAGATGGGTCCATTCTGCTAGTGCCAGAATGACGCGGATGCCTCTGTTCGAACACGGCAAACCAACAGCCACTCCATTGCCATGCCACAATATTCCACCCTCGCACTTTCAAGTCTAATCTCCTTCATTCACACTCATCCTATGTCCAAACAATACTTTCTTTATAATATTCAAATAGGATCACAGTTCTTTATCATTCAAAATATACTAGTATTTATTTAACCAAGTTCCAAAAAATTACTACTGTTTTCCCCCATCACAAGGCTTACCAGATTTGTCATGTGCAGTATTTACTTCACTGTCCAAATACAGTCACAAAGCCAAATTGACAACATTTATATTCAAATTAATTTAGGTAGAGTTAGAGGGAGTCATTGTCATGATCAGCTATGGTGGCTTCATAGTAGATTTTTACATTCACACAGTGCAAGTTGATATCTGATTCTGGAACAATAACAGTTTGAAGTTAATTATTGTTGTCCAAAAGTCACAGTGATATGATGCAAGAATTGATCGGTACAATTAATTGTGAAACGACCGACCAATTTCCATGTATGAATGTATATATCTATTTATATATATAACATTCAACGTGAATGTTTTGTTGTACATGTGTTGGTTAATATTAGTAAACAGAGAATGGTAATAAACTAAACAAACACGTACGCAAGAGGGGACTTGCGAGGCAAGTGGTGCAAAGGGATGGGGGAATGCATCAACGTAAGGCAAGCAACTGTTACGGGGTGTGCAGAGGTAGCCCATATTGTTTACCAAAATAGGTGTTGGAAGGATGGACTGAGACTAGAGACAACTGGTCCATGGCGTGGCCTTTTAATGTGACAGAGCAGCGTGGATTGCGACTGCACCCATGTTAGGGCCTCAGAACTAGGCACATGCTTTTCGTGGTCCTTCGTTCCATTCACTATTGTGTTGTCATAGCTGCCCCTATTCAAACCTTGACGTCTGAACTTGTGCATTGCACCATTATTGCTTAGCTTCTTTTCCTACACCCACTAATCAGACTTCAACCATTATTATTATTATTATTATTATTATTATTATTATTATTATTATTATTATTATTATTATTATTATTATTATTATATTGGACCGTGGATGAGTCAGAATATAGACCATATGTCTGGTGATGAATGATGTTAATGTTAGGAATGTATTCCTTTCCTTGGTTTTCTGCCAACAGATTTGCCACGATCTTTACCCTTTATATTAATTACGTAACGTACAAGTGCTGCTACTTATTTTATCTAGACGTACTTGTGCTTTCCGTAATAATCCAATGAATGACTTTACTCAACTGGTGTGGGCTCATTTGGACGAGGTTCTGTACTTTCTGGCTCAACTGCAAATCCATGTTTGGCAGAATTGGCATCAAAGTCCAATATTATTAATGCTATGTTTGATTCTGTTGAGCATGCCTGTGCTGTTGGTACTTGCATGAACTCTTCAACCATTATAATAACCTCATGCTCTTACAATATGCCTATTAATTCTATGTTATAGTGCCATTGAATTGGAAGCAAGTTAGGAACTGGAGTTTTCGTGCACTGGCTCTTATTTGAGCTACGAAGACATTGTTATCCGAAGTTTGAAGCGATTCCGATAATTTGTAATTTGTAGGCATGTTTTACTACTGTCGGGTCACTTTCAAATACAGCTGTTTGTTTTTCCCTTCAAAGATGTTTCCAACGCAATTCAACGTTTCAGGGGGGGTGTTTGAAAATCACACTTTCAAAACAGTGAAGGAAGGGAGGAGATGGATCTACAGCCATTGGAACTTAACTTTGATCAAAATTCACACTTACTTTACTCTCAGTCCACTACACTGAAAGATGTGCCAACATTAAATTAACACAAACATACTTAAACAAAAATATTATGCCTTTCTATTTTTTCACCCTTCATCTTTGAATTTCTATTTCGTGGATTGATTAGTTAGATTCCCGTTATTCCAACTCGGACTAAACATGCATAAACACTTCATGCAGACATAGCAAAACGACTTCTCCATGTAAAATAATTGGATGTGGGGCTAATATTTGCTCTCCTTTTCAAAGTATAAAATATCTTAAAATCCTTTTCTTTGGAGATAAAATATCTTTTCAATTGTTATAATGCAATAATGGTAGGAAAAAGAGTTGCATCACTAGCTCCAACATATTTTATATTACATTTTTATTATTTATTACACTTTTCAAAGTTTAAAATATTATCAAAGAGAATTAGAATTGCCACAAACCGAACACAACCTTACAATTGGAGATTAATATTCTAAATATTAAATTATTAAGATATTATGACAATAACATATAAATAAATTATATTTATATTTATTTGTGTAAATATATTGAATTTTGTCAATCATAATTTTTTTTAATTTAATATAAATAATAAATAATTTATTTACGAATTTTTATCTATAAATAATATTTTATAAATAATAATTTTTTTAGTAAAAAAACGAAAGATATATATATATATATATATATATATATATATATATATATTTATTTATAGTCACAAATATGACAATGCCATAATAATTTACATGATCACCACTAGCACCCCATGACACCATGAAAGTGAAACATGGAACCGCAAAATTTTCTGCATATCTCACACTGTACAAAAGATAGATATGTATGTGAAGGGCAAAAGGATATGAAAAAGAAATACCTCTCCCACTGGCTCTGTGTTAATATTAAATATCAATAAAGTTTAGCACTCATTGAGAATTTGCAACAGGGTAACTATGTCTTCCCCCATTAATGCTCTCATTATTGTCCTTCCACCATTTTCACGGGGCTTTCCTTTGACAGGCGAATCTGTTCGTGCACATCGAGGAGCTATAAAGCACTTACAGTATAATTTAATTTTGTTTCAGGTATTCATATCTCATTAGTATCTAACACTAATACTTTCGGATAATTCATCAATACATGTCGACAAAGGAATTAAGTATCATTTTATTTTGTTTTTCTTATACCAAATATACCCTACACTCAGATATAAAAACCTAGAAGCATTGCTCCTTGGGGAACTAAAAATGGAACTTGTCCTCTTTTTAGACTGTTCCTATGTAGACTATGGACTATATCCAAAACACTAAAAAAGAAAACAAGTGTATCGGCTTCTCTCTTTTTCTTCCCTTGTCTTATGTTGTCCACGTTGTTTTGTTAACTATCCCTTTTTTCTCTTTCCATTGTGGTCCTCGCTGTTATCCCATATGATTCTCAAGTCTTTTTTTAATTTGTACAGACATGTATGTACATTGTATATTTTTAAGAATAATAATGGTTGATACATGCCTTTTTGCATCCAATAGATGTATCATGGAAAACACGTATCATTAATATGTGTTTCATAATTGACTAGTTTGAGATATGTTCTGCTTAATAATTTGCTGTCATTGGATTGATGACGTATTTTCAGATTCTGTTACATAAACAAAATGATATGATCTGCATGCAAAAGAATTCTGAGTGTGGGGTAAAAGGTAGTATTTTTTTTTATTTTTTTTTTAAAGTTCAGGAAGTAACTGTATGTTGCAGATATTAAAGCCCAAATCAAAAGGATCACCCAAGTTAGCAAGTGGGCTTACTTAATGCACCTTCATATGGTAATCAATTGATATTTTTTATTAAGTAGGAAAACTATTTAGAGTCGCATATAAATTAAATTTAATCCCAATAAAATTAAACAAATTTAAAATAATACGTCGAATAAATTAAATTTGGTTGTAACCCATAAGTGTAGTTGAAGTGTCACAAAATATTTAGCTGGTCACTTTCACACACCGAAACGTTACTTACATAGTAAACTGAAGGCCAACTAATCAGAAGTTTGCTTATAAATAAAAGATTAGAGTTTTAATGTGTTTTTATTTCTTTAAAATTAAACCAAGTTTTAAGCAAGTGGTCTAGTAAAATAATTTTGGGAATTAAATACTCACTTTGTGTGTGTTATGATAAGAAAAATAATTTGAAAAAATAAAATAAAAATAAGTATGTTTCTGTTTTTAAAAAACAAATTTAATGACATTTTTTAAAAATATTTACTCTAATTTTGCAGTTTTCGATATCATCAAAGTTCGCTTATGACATATGTACTCTTTTTTAAAAATATTTATTTTGGACAATGTTTAGATAAAATACGATTAAAAAACCTAAAAAAAAATTGTTTCCAAATTAAAACTAAAAACCCTAAGTTTCTAGTATTTGAGTTTTTATTTAATTATGTTTTTAACTTTTGAAATTTGACATAAATCTATTTTTATCTTCTGTTCACTTTAATTTCTCAGATTTAAATATGATTAAGAACATTGAATATTAAATTTGAGAAATTAAAATATTTTTTTAATTTTAAGAGTTTAAAATTGAATCCACTCTAAATTTTATAACTAGAAATATAATTAAAATTTGACACGCTTTGTATCATGTGCCTATTATTAAGGACGACGGAGAAACACAAATGTACAAAGTTTTAGACAAGACAATATCATAATTTGAAGAAAAAGTCTCCCGAACCTCACCGATTTTATGGTAAGAAATTAAAAGAAAGTAGGTTAACTTGTAGCATGTAAATAAAGATACACTATGTTGTTAAAATATAAGGTGTTTTAAAATTTTATCCATAATTAATTATTTTTGTTCATTTTTTCTATTATAATTAAAAATATTACTAAAAGAGTAAATGAAAATAAATAATTTTATTAATAATAACTATAATAATTTTACTCTCAACAACACATTTGAATTTTCTTATAACTCTTTTGAACAGTCTCATCTTTCATTATTATTATTTTTTTTCTTTGTTCACCAATGATACCATCCAAATAAAAATGCTTGCAACAATTTTGAGCCGTTTCTGAAAGTAAGGTGAAGGGGCAAATCCATCATTTATGCTTTGTTTGGATGGAGTGATTTGAGAGAGTGGAAATGAGAGAGTGGAAAAGGAGGGATTTGAAGAGAAATGGAGATGATTGAAAAGTAAAAGGAAAGTTTATGGGAAATTGTGAATGATTTGATTGATATGAGATATAAAAATTATAATTTTATGTTTATTATTTAAGAAAATTACCATTTTACCCTTTGTATCAAATAAGGTTCAAATGATTATAAATATAATTTTTTAATTAATTATCCATATTTTAACATTGATTATATATTTAAAAGAAAAAACAAATTTAAAAGTGTTTGTAATTGGAAACAAATTTAAAAAATTAACTTTTTTTAGATAGTTATTAAAAATTATATAAATAAACAATTACAAAATTATGTACATTGCATATCCATATTCAAATAATGTTGACATATTAAATAAATTATTTGACTAATAATTAAATAATTATAAAATATAAAATAATAATTAATATTGATCTGATAATAACAAATAATTATGAAAACTAATAATATAATTGTACATTATTATTTAAAACAAATATAAAATACAGTGAAAATAGAATAATAATTAAAGGAAAGATTACTAAAATTATAAATCTATGCACACTAATGTTCTTTAAACAAATAATTATAATGTTATCCATCTTTTGTAGTGAAGTCCTCCGGTTCAGATGATTCAATCACCTCCATTCAAGAACATGAACAACTCGGGAGAGACGAAGATGTGAGGGCAAGCCAAAAAGTCGTCTAACATGTGATGGGTGAGTACACAAATGATTATAACACTGAAGCATAAGTTGCTCGTCATTTAGGTTCATGCCGACTAACATGTCCCATATATTTGACTCAGAATGTTGAAATGTTGATGATCGTCTCATCACATTAACTTGCTCATTAATTAATTCATTTCGCGTTCAATGGCGACCACTTGTCTTTCGGCTATGTCGGATAATCGTTGGGTGATTGTATTACCTTGCCCGAGGTAATCTGTAAATGTGTCCAGCCTCGATGTTAGTTTTTCAAATTGACCTTCCATCACATCAACCATAGGCGCTTTTCTTTTTGTGCCCCGAGATGAAGAGGTTCCACCGAACCGGTAGACGCGAGCGAGATGGAATTGAGTGAGCACCCTCAGCGAGGACTGTCGGAACCCATGCGTGGAGGTGATCGATAAGGCTGTATCAAATCCTGCATCAAAGCCAAAGTGAAATGGTTGCTCCTCCGGTGTGGGGTCCACATCAACGTTCAAGTCGATTGTTGCCTTCGAGAACCGATATTCATTCGGGCCTGACGCGAAGTTCTTGCCATATGTCCATCGGCTCGATCAGCACCCCACAATTCTTCCATCAAATCATAATGTCTTATAGTTGCCAGTTTCCATTTAGCTGCAGAAGGCTTCGCCTACAAAATAATGAGAATGGTTAACACTCGTAATTGTTATGTTTTGCTATATCAACAAATGATAATTCATATAATAGTACCTCAATTAGGTCATCCCATACTTCTTGCTCGACCACAAACCGTTTTGTCATATCATCCCAAGCGAATCCACT